GGTGCCTGGGGGAGGAATTGCCCGCAGCCCGGGAAGAGTCAGGGAAACGTGAGGGGAAAGGATGTTGGAAGTGAGAATGGGGTTGTCCAGCTTCCCAGTTCTCCTGGGTGGGAAAGCTGTTGGAGCTGAGAGGCTGCTGCCGAAGGGCTTTGGGAGGGGGGGCCGGCATGGCCGGCATGGGGTAAGAGCCTCGGGTGTGGATGAGGAGACGGCTGCAGATGGACACGGTGGGATGCGTGGAGGAGGCCAGTTTTAAGGAGGAGTTTGAGGATAGCTGGTGAAGTTACCACAGAGTGCTGGACACCAGAGGAGGAGGAAGAAACATGCATTTTAAAATATTGCAAATGGATGGCGAGGTAGACCCCGGGAGGGCTGAGCAGCAGCGGGAGCTGAACTCCCACCACTGAGTGGGGGGTGGGGTGGGCTCTGAGGTCTCGGGAAACGCAGATGAGCAGCTTCAGGCTGCCGTTGCGGAAAAGTAGGAGCTGGCATATGGGAGCGCTGTGGGTGTTACACTGGTGTAATGAGCCAGAAAAACGCACTTTGCAGTGGTGGTGTGGTGGAGGTTGGCAGGGTGAGCAGGTGGTGCTGGAGGCCGGAGGAAAGCACGGTGCGGCAATCCAAACACGAGCTGACGGGGGCACGGGTGGGAGCTTTAGCTGATTTGGAAGCTTGTAAAAACCATACGGAGCCGTTAAATCTTAGACCTAGAGGGTGATCGCTGCTGAAGGTGATACACAGGTCACGGATAAAGATTAAGGAAGCAGGTACAAAGAATGGGCAGTAGCATCCCAGACAGATTAATCCCAGCAACTCCTCATTTGCTGAAAGTTGTTGTAGTTTTGCTGTTCTGTTGTTTCTCAGGGGTAATGCTGGATTTTGCCTGTTTTTCAGTAGCATTTGTTTCAGTTGGTGACTTAAAAATCACACTTAATTGCATGGAGGCTTCGTGTGGCTGTTGGCAAAGCAAGATAATAACCTTATACGTATTGTTTCAGCTAATATGGAAAACCAGATTCTGGACTAACACTTTTCATCCAACACTCTCCTATTTTACAATTTCAAAAACTGTGTTGAATGATTTTAACACAGGTTGACTGTTATTATGGATCCTCTCTTTTAGAGGTGTTTGTGGTTGCATCTGCTTTATGAATGAGGAAAACATTTCTCAAGTAGTCAATTGAGTGATAGAAGTCCTGATACCTTGTTTGTTTGCCTGTTAACAATGTGAACCTTTTAAAGACAAGGATTCTAGCGGATGCAGTAAGAAGAGATTGTGAAAATGTAATTTGGGGGGGAAGTCTTGATAATAACAGGAATAATTTTAGGTAAGAAAGCTCAGGCAGATGTATTAATACAGATTAATTTACATTAATACAGATTAATACCTGTGATCAGAATCTGAATCGATGCTGTGAAATAATAGAATTGAACTCTGAGATTCAAGGGCAGCTCTTCACAATCCTCAATGAAACATCTCGAGAAGGTAAATTAGTGCCTTGTCTTACTAGTAATGCATTTCACCCATGTCATCTTTTCAAGCTCTGGCTCTTTCTGTAAGTGTTCTCACAATTTCTTATTGTGTGTGTCGCCTTAGGTGGGCATTATGCAGGTGTGGAAACAATAAAAACTCGTCTCTTGCCATGGCTAGGGACTTGTTTTTCCTGTGCTACTTCAGGAAGGCTCTCTGAAACCAACCTCTCCCTCGCTCGGGTATGTAGGAAATTTATTTTAAGGGAATAGAATGGTGCGAATTTATACCTGCAGGAGAGATGTAATGACTTTCTGTTAATAACAGCTTCTCTCCCTGATTTTGCTTAATGAAATGCATCCCTAGTTGCTCACAGAGACAGTTATGCTATTTCTCTGTCTCGACTTATGTTTCCTTTGAAAAGGAAATCAAAGAGGACATTAAAGTTACTTTTGGCATTCTATGGCTTATGCTGTTTTACAACAAAGAATGACAATATGGAGGAGCTTACTTTGTAAGAGAAGCTGCCTTCTTGTACTGCTTTCCTTTTCTAGGTGAAGAGTTATGCTATGTTTACATTTGCAAAGACATCATAGAAGTATTTACACCATATCTCTATTAGTAAAAACCTAACACTGTGAAAATAAATGTGTAAGCTGAAAGTGTTTATGAACTCCATGTGTTTATCTGTGACATCCTTATTATTTTTATTAAAAACCTTTTTTTAGTATCTGAGAGTTATAATATCTCCAGGGGGCAGGTGGGGAAAGTGCTCATGTCCATCATGATACCACCATGCACCAACTTGGTGTTTGGAGTTAGTACATATTTTATATTTATGAAGGGGTTGTAGTACTAACAGTTTGGCAGAAAAGAGACATCTGCTGTGGCTTTGTGCTTTGAAATCAAAGAGCGTTGGTTGCTGCGGACTGGGGGGAAAATACTGAAGATCTTGAGATTTGACAGTGATGGCTCCATGTTCCGACTTCTCGTTTTTATGTCTTCTGTGAAAATCTTTCACAATTAATAAGAACAATGTAAGAACAAGTGAAAAGTGATGTTCCTTAAAGAGTCAGATTCTAGCATATTGCAGGAGTAGGGTTCTGCCAAAAAAACTCCTAAGTTTAAAATAATGATGTCATTAAATGACAGTACACCTAGTACATCAGTTATGGATTTGTCACTGCATATGACATTCAAAATTTAAACAAGCTTGCTGCGTAGTTCGTTATTTAATTCTGGTAGTATCCAGTAAATCTATAGGTTGTCAAAGAAAGAGCTTCATATGTAGTAGTGTGCTTTGTGGAATGACAGTAGTTGCCTCCTCTGTTCTAGTAATGTTTTGTGTTATTTTGTGTACATGAACTCCCAAAAGCTTTGAGTTGGTGACATAGAAGGTGACTGAGTGGGGAGAAAAAAAAGGCCCATGCAACACATCTGCAAGAACACTTTGTTCAGATGGTGTGTATACCAGTAGTAAATCTGCTTAAGCAGACCTTCCATATTCTCTATCATAAGGTGTGAGGTGGATATTTTTCCTAAAATGTCTGGCTTGTGTGCCTGGAAGATCTTGCTAATGTCTCTAGAAGGTATGCAATTACTTTTGTTTTCAGTTAGTTTAGAAATGGTCTCTACTGAAATGTTTAGAAATACACGTGGTAATGATGCTATACGACTTTGCTGAAGAGTTCTGTAAGGTGGAACATGCAAGCAGCATGATCTTGTGTTTTGTTGTAGGATTCAATTGAGAAAGAGAAGCAGCTGAGGGAGCACACCAGGGATCAGACTTTCCAACTGCAAGAGCTGCAGGAAGAACTGACTTCAACTCGTCTACAGCTCAACCATGTGCAACAAGAGTAGGGGGATTAACTGTGACTCTTTCTGTTTGGTTTTGATTTTGTTTTTCAACAAGCCATATTTTTCTCTTTACAAGTCTCCCACAGTATTTAGATGTTAAATGTTTCATCTTTGTCTTTAAAATCAGAGCTTCAAAATACATTCAGGCTCTGGATTGTCCATGTGTGTCAAAAGTGGGGTACAAATGATACAGTCACACCTGCATTCATAAATTGACTTGTTAAGTTTTGCTTCTGGCAGAGGAGTTGGAAAACATGCCAGTATTCTAGACAAAAGAGATTTGTATAGTGCATGACCATGCAAGTGGAATTGTAGTCAAGGGACTTGCATGCTGAGCAAACGTGGATAAAAATTGAGCAGCTACAGTGCAACCCTTACTGAAGTGCCTACATACAATATGTCATAATTAGTTATGGTATGTGAACGTCTTGTCACTACTTTTTTACAAGGACCTGTAGTGACAGGACTATTGAAATTGAAAGTGGGGAGGTTTAGATTAGATATCAGGAAGGAGTTGTTCACGGAGAGGGTGGTGAGGCACTGGGACAGGTTGCCCAGAGAAGCTGTGGATGCCCCATCCCTGGAAGTGTCCAAGGCCAGGCTGGATGAGGCTTGGAGCAACTTGGTCTGGTTGAAGGTGTCCATGTCCATGGCAGGGGGGTTGGAACTAGATGGTCTTTAAGGTCCCTTCCAACCCAAACCATTCTGTGATCTAAGAAAATCAAACAGTAAGATGGAGGAAGAAAGAGGCATGTTTTCAAATAAGCGATTAGGACTGAATAGTTTTTGTCCAGTTGCATAAAACATTGGAGCACTGTACTGTCAAAATTACTTAATTGCTTCAGAAACAAATTTGTTCAGTTAGTGCCAGTTCTAGGTCCATTTTGGACATAGCTCCAAGTGACAGATGCTTTTTCATGCATCCTATTAGCATGAGAACCATGAATGTTCAGTCCTTGGGTCAGTACAACAAGTGATGTAATTTAATGCTCTTTCTAAGTGATTCCAAGTATATCGATGAGTTCTTGGAACTGCAAACTGTATTAGCTAGATCAGAGGAAAGAGGTTCAAGGGAATATTTCATCCCCTATCCTAGTCTTGCAGATATCGCCTGTTTTCACAGCATTGTAGAATCACAGAATGGTTTGGGTTGGAAGGGACAGTCAAACATTATCTAGTTCAACCCCCCTGCCATAGGCAGGGACACCTTCCACTAGACCAGACTGCTCAAAGCCTCATCTGGCCTGGCCTTGAACACTTTCAGGGATGGGGCATCCACAGCTTCTCTGGGCAACCTGTCCCAGTGCCTCACCACACTCAGTGTAAAGATTTTCTTCCTTATATCCAAGCTAAATGTTCTCTCTTTTAGTTTAAAACCATTGCCCCTTGTTCTATCACTAGGACAAGGCTAAAGTTAAGTCTCCATCTTTCTGAAGCCCCCTGTAAGTACTGAAAGGCTGCAAGAAGGTCTTCCTGAAGCCTTCTCCAAGCTAAACAATCTCAAGTCTCGGCCTTTCTTCATACAAGAGGTGCTCCAATCCCTGATCACTTTTGTGGCCATCCTCTGGACCCACCTCAACAGGCCTGTGTCTTTCTTGTACTGGGGACCCCAGAGCTGGATGCAGTACTTCAGGTGGGGTCTCATGACAGGGGAGTGGAAGGGGAGAATCACCTCCCTGGACCTGCTGGCCATGCTTTTTATACAGCCCAGGATATGGTTGGTTTTTGGGCTGTGAAGGCATGCTGCCAGCTCACTTCTAGTTTTTCATCTACCCCCATCTCCAAGTCCTTCTCCACAGGGCTGCTTTTAATATATTTTTTTCACCAGTCTGTACTGATAGTGGTGATTACCCTGACCCATGTGCAGGACCTTGCACTTGAGCTTGCTGTACTTCATGAGATTCATGGGCCCACTCCTCAAGCCTGTCAAGGTCCTTCTGGATGGCATCTGTTCCCTCAAGAGCACCAACTTCACTGCTCAGCTTGGTGTCATCCACGAACTTGCTGAGGGTGCACTCAATCCCTCTGTCCATGGCATTAATGAAGGTATTGAACAGTACCGGTCCCCGTACAGACCCCTGAGGGACACCACATATCGCTGATCTCCATTTGGACATTGAGCTGTTGACTGCAACTCCTTGGGCACAGCCTTCCAGCCAATTCCTTGTCCATCCATCAAATCAGTATCTCTCCAGTTTAGACAAGGATGTTGAGTGGGACCGGACAAAGGCCTTGCAGAAGGCAGGGGAGATGACATCAGTTGCTCTTCCCTTATTCACCAATGCATAGTAGTATCTGTTATGTCTCATCTTGCATGGATGCAGGCATTCTAATTTTTCACTGTCAAAAAAGTCTCTGGGTCATTTCTGAGTGAGTTAAAAATGACTGACTGCTGTCTTCCTGATTGAAACTATTAGTAGGCAATAAAGCATCTCACAATTCCCATGTGTAGGTCAGAATGCAGACTGCAGTTCACATTGCCTTGTCTGTCATGGTGTATTAAGGAAAGTCTGACTAGTGTGTTGTGTATTATTGGTATTTTTTTCAAGTTTTTTTATTTGTGCATAAATATTTTCTCCATCTCTAGAACTCCTTTACCCAAATCTACTTTCCTTCCAAGTTGTTTATATTAGAATTCTTTAGTCTGTTAGAAGTCCTTGCAGGGGACTGAGGATGTCCATGGAATTGTAATAGTATCGGCAGCTCTTCCTACCCAGGTTAGAAGGGCAGGCCTTCCTCCTAGCAGATGTGCTGGCCTTATTGCCTGTGGTCCCCTTGGCAAGCCTGCTCCTTAAAAGGCAGAATGTTACAGCTTTCATAGATTCAGATCCTCAAAAATCTCACCAGGGTCCTTTAGTAAAGAAAAGGAAGGACAGACAGAATGCCTCCAAAAAATGAATAGAAAGCTGTGGTGTGTTCTTTTGGTTTTGGTTTTTCCCCCTCACTTGGAAAGAGGAAAAGAACAATAATAGCTGTGTTAGGGAAAGCGTGTTGGGATACTTTCTAACATGAAGTAAGAGTAGAGGGAAGCAGATAAAGTTGCTTAACTGGTTGTCTGCCAGTGATTCTTAAACACTGCTTCTCTTGGGGAGAGCAGGAGAGGAATTGTTAGATTTTGATATTACTTGAATAACATCATTGGTGCTATCCTTTGACTGACTACTCTACTCCAGCAAAGAATCCTAGGACCTGATATAAAAATATGTATATGAGCCTTAAACTGTAGGAAAGAAAACTGAGCTGGTTTAGTTAACATCTTAAATATGGAAAAAGAAACTAATTTCTTTCTTAAACTTCATCACCTGAGCTAGTGTGAGAACACCACATGTTAATGAGCGATCTCTTGTAGTATAAAGTGTAGTGTATCCAGTCTCCTGTCACAGTATTCCCTTCTACATTTAAGTGCAATTAGGAGTATGATTTGGAGTATGCTTTTAAAAACTTCTTGGGTTCCCTGTATTTCAGCATAAGGAGCTTGCTCAATATTTATGCCCTCTTCTGCTCTTTTTATTTGATGAGGATTAATTGATAGATGGTTTGCACTGGTAGAAGGACATCTTGTGACTGACTTTATTCTGTGTGGTTAAGTCTGAAGACTTCCCGTGCCCAAGAGAAGGATGCCCTGAAGAAGTTAGATCGTCTGAATGACTATGAGCAGCAGATTCAAATACTGCGGGATGAAATTTCTATCCTGGATGCCCAAAAGTCTGTTCTCCAGAGCAGGTAAAAGCGTTATTCAGAGAAGTTGCTGAATCAGAAATTGTTTGTTAGGTAGCATGAATTCCCTCCTCAGTTTGAAATTGAAATATAAACAACAACTAGGCTTTTGTACTTGGCTATGAAGGAACATAAGCTCTCTAACTGACTTCTAGTGCTCAAATGTTTTAATTTCAGTCTGCAATGTTAAGTTTCTGGCAAAACCGCAAAGAGAGCAGGTTTACAAAATACACTGAGAGCAACTGTATAGGATAAAAAGACATGGATGGGTTTTATGTTTATAAGTCATCTTTGAATACTGTGCCATTACAGGGCAGAACTTGTTATGTTCTCCCTTGTTTGACTTTACAGCTCTTCAGTGGTGCTGAAAGAGGATCAGATCTCTGAAGTTTTACAAGTTAAAAGTGTGTTTCTCCAGAACAAAGTGCTTGGCTGTACGCACTTTAGGAATTACTTTAGTTTAATATGAAGGCATTTGTGCAAATATATTTTATGGGCTGGAACCTGAACAATGAAATTAAATCAGCTGCAGCTTTACTTCTTTAAGTAGTTTGGCTCAAAATCTCAGTTTACCCTGGTAACAATTCCATTGACACAATTGCAGTAGGCAAAAGCATCTGAGGATGGTGAAGTGACCTCATGCTGTTTTACGTGTCTGTCATAGGCTCGCACGGAGCCGCTCTCCTTCCCCGAGGCACCGTGAGAGCAAGTCGCCTAGTCCGCTTCTCCTGAGAAGCTGCTTGCCCGGCCGAGCCAGGTGTACGAATGCTTCGCGTCGCGCCCGCCTGGTGGCTCGCTTCGGTGACATTTACGCTCAGGAACGCTTGGATGCAGAGACCCTTTTGAAGACATACGTCAGTGACGTGGAGATGGTGCAGAGGATAATATACATTGCAGCTGTGGTAAGGAGAAAAATCATATTTCTTGTTTTACAGCCCAGAAGTGTTTTATAAAATATTATGGCTGCATTGGATTATTGAGTGTAAATTACAACTTCCGTGAAGTATGGAGAAGAAAACTTATTTTTTTCCCTCTTGATTTTTCTTTTTCCCCCTAACACTTTTACACTGAACTCCAAATTTACTGTCCTTTTTCTGACAGTCCTGCCCCAACATTAGAACGGGGTCAGTCATCTACAGTACGCATGCTAAAAGGGGCACATAAGAAGACCGAATGGCTCTGAAAGGTAGATGATTCCTCCACTAAACAACACTGCCTCATTCAGATTAATTCTTTTGGGAATACTACATTTTCGGAAAGCTAGAAATCTTTCCATCTTTGAACATGATTCCATTGATCATGGGTGCGTGATGGAATCCTACATAAAAATAGAAGGTTAGGTGGGAAGCTTTTCAGTCCTGTCTTCTGCAAATAAGTCACATTTGGTTTAATCAGAGAAGTCCTCCCTGATGGAGTACTGTTTTTAACTTTCACTTTTCCAGCAGCGTTTTCTATTCCTCCTTACAATGATGATACTGAGTTAAGTTCATCCTCTCAGATAATTGATAAAAGTTAATGTCAGTCTCCTGGATTTAACTAGATGTGCTTTATGTTTGCAGGAGTCTTTTCATGCAGCAAAGATGGCCTACAGGCAGTTCAAAATACGTGTAAGAGAGACTCTGTCTCTAGGCCACTCAGGGCCTGAGTCACTTGAAGACACTGTCCTGGATTATATTGTTCGCCATGAGGATCTGTATGACGTTCAAGCCAGTGTCAATGTAAGCCAAGGGCAGTGGGGAAGTGGTGTGGTGATCTGTTTCAGTAGCTAACAAAGAGTGCACAAACTAGAAACACAGTAACCTGCAAAGGGAAAAAGCTTATCTATCACATGGATTTTGTGTCTTGTAGCAGTTTATTTTACAAGGTAGTATTGTGGTATGGCCCAGTAATCACTTGTTTTATTTGTCTGTGAATAGAATGTCTGTCTGCCAGAATAATATTTTTGGCAAGATACTGTGTAACTGTCTTAATCAAATGAATGTAAGCTAAATTTCATATTTTTCTTAAATTCTGTGCTCTACTGAAAAATGGCATCTCCCTCCTAACATTGATGTCAATGATTCAGCTCTTCTTTATTTCTAAAACAACCAACACATTCTTTCTGAAGCTAGTGTTTTCTGGAATAGCTTAAGACAACATTGCTGGGAGCTGCTTATGCTGGTTTTTAAGCGTAGAAAGCTGAGAGGCATTGTCATGGTTTAACCTCAGCTAGCAGTAAAGTATTGCGCAGCCGCTCGCTCACCTTCCCCCCTGCTCCACAGTGGAGGAGGAGAGTCAGAGGAAAAGACAAGGAAGCTCGTAGAGTTGAGACAAGATCTATTGAATAATTGAATATAAATGAAAATTATATTGATACTACTAATAAAGTATTAAATAATAGAAATTAGAACATACGATTCAACTGCTCACCACCTGCAGACACGTAGCCAGGTCCCGAGTAGCGAGAGTCACAGCCCCAGGGCAACCACCCAACCAGGACAAAAGCCAGCTGACCCCCCAACCCACTGACCCACCCCACGATAACAACCATGCCAAGAAACACGCCTTCAGCCAGCCTTCTGCACTGTGGAGAAAATTAACTCTTTCTTGCCTGAAACTAGCACAGGCATATTTAGGAGGGATTTCCATACTTGCTCGTCAATGAAAGTGTTAGTGAGCTCAAATGACTCAGTTGTTTTTATTTTCAGGAAGTAATTCGCTCCATGAACATCAACCCAAAGATTTCATTTCCACCAGAAATTGATTTCATTGTGATCAGCACTTTGATTCAAGAGGTGTGCCTTGTGGCTTTTTCAATGCAGACGCTCATTCCTCCTCTTGATGTTGCCTTTGGTACTGATGGAGAACTTTTCAGTGAGACCAGGTAAGAACTGTATTTTCAGTCAGATTCTTACTATTTAAAAAAAAAAACTATCAGCTATATAGTCTACTCTTAATTAATATAAAGGTTTGGGGCAAATATTCCTGGCCTGTAGTGAATTTGATATGTCTTTAAGGTTTGTGATGGTATGTAAATGCCAGGTTGTAGACCAGTGTTAATAGCTTTTTTTAAATTAACATCAGAGCAATTTCCTGGATAAACTTCAGTCTCTAGAGCATATGTAACTTGTTCTTTAAGAAGAAAATTATCATCAGCTTTCCTTTCCATGTTTGGTTTCTGTCTGCCTCCAGTGTTTATGAAATGTGTGTGTCTTTGTTCCTCCTTTCTGGCCTATTTTGTAAAAGTTATGTTTACTGAGATCTGGCCCAGCATCACCAACATGTGTGTTGTGACCTCCAGGCTATGGCTGCTGTTCCACATATGGATCTTAATATGCTCTCATGTCTTCTCATTTAGAGCTGAGCAAAAAGAAAAATGCCTTTTAAAAATGGGCAGTTTGTTCAAAAAATGCACACTGTAACATAGTTTTGGCTGAATTAAGAAGGCCACAAGGCTATGGTATAGCCTTGGGATGCTTTTTCCACCTACTTGATGCGTGGCCTTCAAAAAAACAGGTGTAGTGTGTTTTATATGTGCTGCTGTGGGAGGCATATATACACACACCTACCTACCTGTGTGGGTAGATGTGTCATGTATATGTTTACATGTATAGTGTGTGTATGTGGTACACAGAGATGGAGCAGAACGTGTAGAAACTAAAATAGCTCACTTAAGTGTTATAAAAGGGCTGGTCAAACCTCATCGTACCTATACTCCATGCAGAGCTTCATGCCTATGTTTACTACGTTGTTTTATCTAAATGGCTATTGAATATATATTGCTAATGTATAGATGCATTGCTATTTTTTTAAATTTTGGTTATTTGGTATTTGTTTTGAGTTTGAATCCACAAAACCAGACATGTATTATTTAGCCAATATTGCAATGTTAGGGAGGTAATACATATTAGTATGTTAATACAAGCCTTAAATAATTCTTCTGAGCTAAAAAGGCAGTGTTTCATTATCAATATCTGAGACTCTTGCTTATAAGATTGCCTCTTAAGTCTCATAGGGTACCAGGATATAACTATGAAGTTAAGATGGCCTATTTCTGTAATATCCTTTTATAGGGGTCTTGTTTTAGCAAGATATTTTGGGAAGATGGGATGACTATGCCTGCCGAAATGCTGCTCAGGAGATTTAATCTGTCAGTGGACCCAAGGACCCTGGCTTGTGTGGGGCTTATGCATGAATATGGTCTAGTGGCCTTCTGAAGTGTGAGATGGCTTTACTGGAGTGTCTCTCAGTATGCATCCAGCTGTGGAACCCACAATATCAGAAGGATATAGACTGGTTGGAGCGAGTCCATATGAGGCCATGAAGATGCTCAGAGGGCTGGAGCCCCTCTGCTATGGGGACAGGCTGAGAGAGTTGGGCTTGTTCAGCCTGGAGAAGAGAAGGCTCCGGGGAGACCTTATTGCACCTTCCAGTACCTGAAGGGGCTACAAGGAAGCTGGGGGGGGCTTTTTACAAGGGCCTGTAGTGACAGGACAAGGGGGAACGGGTTTAAATTGAAAGGGGGGAGGTTTAGATTGGATATCAGGAAGAAGTTCTTCCCGGAGAGGGTGGTGAGGCACTGGAACAGGTTGCCCAGAGAAGCTGTGGATACCCCATCCTTGGGAGTGTTCAAGGCCCGGCTTTGAGCAACCTGGTCTAGTGGAAGGGGTCCCTGCCCATGGCAGGGGGGGTGGAACTAGATGGTCTTTAAGGTCCCTTCCAACCCAAACTGTTCCATGATTCTATGGTTCCATGATAAGTAGACGGTGTATTCTGCTGTCTGTCTTAACAAATGCATTTCTTTTACAGGTTCACTTGAAGAGTACTTATTTTTGTGATAGGGAGATGTTGTCAAGAAAGATGTTTGAGGTGTCACTAGTATTCTGCTTTTTATCAGTCTTGATGGCTTGAAACATCATGTTTATCTTTAGGCATTTATATGCAGGCATTCCTTGCGTTCTGTGTCTCGACAGGTACTATCGTAGCTTTGACTCTGACCTCACAGCTGCCTTGGTGGCCTATCACGTATGGCCTGCTCTGATGGAAAACGATGTTGTAATTGCGAAGGGGGAGGCAGTCACAAAAAGAGGAGCTCTGGTAGGTACTTTTGTTAAGGAATGTGTTAAGGGAAGTCATTGGATTTAAGAACTGGTTTAAAATTTAAAAAGATAAATTCTTGATCGTTCCCTATATGGCGGGAGTTGTGTGTATCAAATATTAGTTAGGTTTTAGTGCCTTGCCCTGTCTTTAGGATGAGTAGTTCCATTTGCCTTAATGTATTCATTATGCAGAGGTATGATTGATGGCAAAGGAGAAAGTTTACTGTGCTTACTCTCTGGCCTCAGGCCTTGTCTCCAGCATGGCAAGTCTGCCGAGTCTGTTTTTATTAAGTGCCGTCTCTCAAAAGAGGTTTGTCAAACTCTCCTCTTGTAGTGGTCTCAGAGAAGCAGGAGTAGGAGCAGGAGCCACAGCTGTAGCACCGGTCCTCTTCTATTGCACGATGTAAACCCCAGCTGAATGCTGGTAGTATCAACAGCATCGAGTGTGTTAAACTCCAAAAGTAGGCAACCTTTTAAAAATGCTGATGTGACACATGTACCTTTTAACATTGGGAATAAATGCCTTTTGGGTCTGGAATGAGATGAGGCTGAATTGACAGATATTTATTGCCTGGTATAATTACCAGTGAAGATACTGTATGAGAAGTAGATCAAAAATTAAATACTTGTAAGTATCAATTGCGGTTCTCAGAATGCTTTTCCCCTGCTCCCCCTTGCCTCAGTACCCTTCTGAATAACTAATTGCATCATCTGGAAGTGTTTTAGTCATCTTGCAGTACATATTCAGCACATGGACCCTGCCTCTTGGAATTAGTAATCTAAATTTACCCCCTAATGCCTCAAAGGAGCAGAAAATCAGTAGAGATTGGGCGGGAGGGGAAGGACTGAGGTGGTACATGGTATAGTACACAACAATTTTAATTACTTCCATAAAAATCATGTATATTTTTCTAATTGTTAGTCCATCTTATTAAACTAACATAGGTGCTCTCAACATAAAACATGAATATTGGCAATGTGAGAGGCTTTGGATAAGACTCGCACTATTGAGTGTGTGCAGGGTCTAAAAGAAAAACCAGAAGATTGTTGAATTTGACTTTGTAGCAGTGGAGCTGCACTGAAAGAGTAACATGTGCACATTTTCTGCATGTTGACAGGTCCCCAAGTGCCTTTCTTGGGTACAGTTCTTTAGCACACCTCAGTTCCCTTTTCTGTTTGTCTTGCAGTTGTCTCAAAGCCGCAGTCCTTCGCCAGGGAGGAGCGGAAGCCCAAGTAAGTGGATGTATTAGTTCATAATGACTCATGGTTTTCACATTAAGCCCTTGCACAACTGAGCAAAGAGGCAAGGTAACATGCTGAAGGTCTTTGACTCTGAAATACTTGTCCAAGTCTTATTTTTAAAATGGGTAGTCCCTTTCTGACTGTGGAAATAGGCTGATATTTCTGACTTGGAGGAGAGCTTGTTTTTCACTCTAGTCAGACCACTGTAATTAATTCTATCTGCTGGTTGCCTTTATTATGGCCAGTTCTGTAGTAAGTAAAACTGCTCTCTTCCCTACAGAAGGGAGAGTTATCTGCATGCTGACTCCAGGTCTTTAAAAATCCAAAGAGATAGCTAACTAGCGAGGGTGAGGTGGGGGATTTCAAAGGGTATAAATCTGTGCCCATCTTGAAGCCAAGACAATGTAGAGATTAAAAAAAAAAAAAAATAGTTGTACTGAAATGTGTCTTTTTTTCTTCAATAGGGCGTTAACTGAACATGTCCCTGTGATTCAGTACATCCAGATCCAACAACTTCACTGGTGCCTTTTCTCTTAAAGAATACCTCAAATATTGCAATAATATGAATGGCAATTGTCACTCCAAATGGAGTTTGTTCCGTGTGTTTTTTAGAATTATTGACGACTTCCATATGCTTTTACAGAGCATGAACCCTTCTATCTTAAAAAAAAAAGTGCATGCAATACAGGATCATACTCATTTGGCAAAATTTGCAGAGCACTGAAGAACTCATGCAGTAATCCTGCAGGTGGAGATAGAATTATTGCATCTAGAATGTCTTCCACAGATACTAAACCACACAGTTTGTCCTGATAAGATTATTAATAGAACCTAAATGGTGAATGTTGCGGAATATTGAGGTTAGCTGTTACTTCGGAATTTAATTATTTGGTGCCAATTTACAATTTTAGGAAATAGTAATATTCTTAGGATGTGCCAATCTCACACAGCATGCTTACAGATATGTCCTTGGGGTAGATGGAATTGTCTAACTACAATGCAAAACTGTCATGGAACAGTCATAAACTACCAATCCTCCAGTAGTCCCCAGGCCTTTATTGACATTTACTTTTGACAGCACGGGTGTGTGCTTTAGCGTGCAGTAACAGTCCTTGTTAAATCCCTTGTTACTCAGAAATGAGTATCATAAAAACTTGTAGTTTGGAACTCAAAGTATTTTGAAAGTGTGCCACTGACTATTCATAAGCTTGAAATATTTGCTTGAAGTGGCCTATTTGGTACCAGGCTGATAGATTAGTAGTTCTTATGAACACAGTAAAAGAACCTGTCTAGTTATCTCTTCCTGTGGGCGTTTATTACCTTTAAGTGTAAAAATTAGAGTCCTGAGGAGATTTTATTCTGGCGCTTTAAATAGTTTGCTCCCCTTGTAAATGCTTACTTTAATATGAACATTTTCTGTTTTGAGAGAACTGATACTGTCTTTCTCTCAGAACATCATCTGTAGGGCCAGCCTTAAGTACAACTGCACAAGTGACTGCTGGGGGGCTTGTGCTTTCACATAGAAACATAGGATTTGTGTAATGGAGCTGATATGCAATTCACCAGTGTCTCACTCCAGTCAATACCTGATGCTTCAAAGGTATGTGGAGCTTTCATAGAATCACAGAATGGTTTGGGTTGGATAGAACCTCAAAGACCATCCAGTTCCAACCCCCCTGCCATGGGCAGGGACACCTTCCACTAGACCAGGTTGCTCCAAGCCTCATCCAGCCTGGCCTTGAACACTTCCAGGGATGGGGTATCCACAGCTTCTCTGGGCAACCTGTTCCAGTGCCTCACCCCCCTCTCCATGAAGAACTTCTTCCTGATATCCCATCTAAACCTCCCCACTTTCAATTTAAACCCGTTACCCCTTGTCCTGTCACTACAGGCCCTTGTAAAGAGTCCCCCCCAGCTTCCTTGTAGCCCCTTCAGGTACTGGAAGGGGCAATAAGGTCTCCCCGGAGCCTTCTCTTCTCCAGGCTGACCAAGCCCAACTCTCTCAGCCTGTCCCCATAGCAGAGGGGCTCCAGCCCTCTGAGCCTCTTCGTGGCCTCCTCTGGACTTGCTCCAACCAGTCTATATCCTTCTGATGTTGAGGGCTCCACAGCTGGATGCAGCACTCCAGGTGGGGTCTCACCAGAGCAGAGTACAGGGGCAGAATCACCTCCCTTGACCTGCTGGCCATGCTTCTGGAATACAGACAATCAGAAGGAAGAAGAATTCCTTTGTCTCCTCACATAATCAGCCTACACCCTGGAACATGACATTTCATTAGTACTACTGTAATAACATGAGCAAAAGTATTTTTATTAGTTCTGAAACTATTTAGTCCTTAAAATTAAGTTACAGGAGCAGATTTTGTGATCCCTTTCCAGAGACCTTATGCAGACTTACACATCCATGCTCTTTCTCCCCACTTCTTGTGTAGGTTAAGACTTTGACACAAGGCTCTGGCACAGGATCAGCTTTCAGGCATGCTTTCACATTGGTCCCTGTGAGCCATGGATCAGCTGTGACTAGTTCTACAGGTGTATTTTCGTTAGAATTAGGGCCATTAGTAACTGATGAGAATAAAATGAGGTCCTGTGCATATCCAGTCATTCTCAGGGCCACTCTGAATGAATTAAGGGAATACAAAGGCACATGCACATGTGATGTACTTTCTTGTTATCTGAGGAGGTCATGGAAGTCAGAGGAGAAAATGCAAAGCAATATATTTCTTCTTCTAAGTGCCTGATCGTTGGTCACTGCTATGGATATGAGCTTGAGGTAAACCTGCATATTTCTGCACTGGTCTTGCGACTGAAAATACCACCGTTCTGGAATAACTGAGCACCTGCAACTTTTGTGGCAACAGAAGACAATGGGATATCCAGAATATGGTTTTGAGCAGAAAAATGAAGAATTTATCAACATCTTGTAATTGCCAAGGGCTGAGAGACATAAGGTTTTGGTTTTGTTTTTTTTTAAATAGGTGTTGTATGTTTATCTTCTGCATGTAATTACCAAGACATGTCTATGTTATGATTTTGAGTTGAAGTAAGTTTCCATACCAACTGTGAGAAAACTAAGGCAACATCAAGGAAGTCTTTTTCTTGGCAAGTGTGAAGCGGTGTAGTTCCAGACTTTCACACAACTGTGGTGCCACTGGGAACTGGTATTCCCAAAGATCTAAAGTTGCCATAAAAACCAGATTTGCAGTGGTTGGTGCTTGGTGGACCATCTCATCTTACTCTCCCAGCAGGTACCTTGGGGAAACTAGTGGAATGACAGCCAGTGACTTGTTTTGGTAATGAGGAAGCAACCTGAGGATTTTTTTTTTTCCCCCTCATAATGTTTCAGAGCAGAGCAAACCATTTTCTGCAAAATAGGAAGTCGGTCAGCATGGTAACACTTAAACAAACCTGACCCTACTCAGTTGTACTCTGCAGCCCATAGTTTTGTAGGAATACACTGTTTTGTACTGGTTGCTGTGCAGCTTCCTCGTAGCCAGTTAAATTTGTAGGTCAGATAGAAGGTGGCTTTTGGTGGCAAGTTGGGCACCAGCACAGGTCTTTGCTGCTTGTTACCCACGTGATGACAGTGCAGGAAACATGTACTCGTAGAGATTATATGGAATTAACCAGCAGATGCAAGCCAACTTCTGGAAAGGGACTTTTGCAATTGCTTGTAACATCCTATGAAAGGACAAATCATGAATGTGAAATTGATGACTTGGTGTTTTAAGATTCTTTTTTAAAAATCTTAAGTAAGATGTTTTAAGTTTTCTTTGTTTTTTTTCTCTGAATCACAAGCCTGGATAATGCCACACTTGTAAATACAGCAAAGTAGAGACAGTAGGGGTGGATTCTTATAGGTGACAAATAAAATAAATAAAAAAGTCAGTAAAGCTTCTATTAAAAGGGAGTTTTAGAACAGTATAATCATGATCAAAGTGTTAGTACCAGGAAAAGGAAGGCAGCTAGAATTTGAGCTATCAAACACTCTGCTGATGGACTGGTGGAAGTGAGGCTGCATGGAATGTAAAAAGGTACCACCAAGGCCTTCATGCAGAGCCTCACACATTTGTGAGGGATTTTGAGATTGCTGGAGAATTCCTCCTGCATGTCAGCTCTCTGATGGCTCATTATGTCTGCCTCAATTCTCAATAGGCTGTCCCGGGGTTGGTCTAAACGTGTGGATGTTTTATCACTTACTTCTGGGAAAACATGTTGCCAAAATATCTTCAGTCTTCCTTCTTCAATGTTTGCAGCTCAGTTAGCGAGACTCACACAGAGCTAGCAGACACTGAGGGTAAATGGCTCAGCCAAATCCGCTGCTGCGCAATGAAGACTTAAATTCAGAAGCTATCTTAGGTTCTCCCAACATCCTGATAGGAGGAAAAGCTGGGAGCAGGAGGTTGGTGGAGTCCTCCTGTCTAATCTCGCTGGCAGCGGGTTGTGGTGCTGGTTCAGTCTTGTAGGAGGCTCTGGAGTTGAGCGGTAAGTTAAAGCAAAAATACTTGACAGCCTGAAGAAAGTAAATGTGAAGGCCAAAAATCAGCCAAATGCTCCCTGGAAAACATATGCCTGTACGTCCTCCAGGATTTGAGCCTTTTAACTTTATGTTGCATGTGTGTCCTGCAAAGGTTTGTCATCCCATAAAAGTGCCATCAGAATCAAATACTGTCTTTCATCTTTATGTAACCTTTGCCAGCCGTTTTTGATTGGCGTTAACTACGCAGTAACTTTTCCTACTGTAGCATGAAGTAGTCTCGCTTTGCGTTAAGGAAACGAAAATCTGCTCGTTGTGGCTTGCAGCTCCATGAGCATGATTTCAGACTGAAAGTTTTGGGTTTCAAGACTCTGTTGTACCTCTTTTCGTCACGCAGCGTAGTAAGCCAGTATGCTGAAGAAATGTACTTTTTTTTTTTTGAATGCAGGTTTTTGATGGCTTTTAAAAAGCAAATCCATCACAGGCTCTCGCTGATATACAGGTGTTGGTTTTGT